ACCCATGTCTCCATATTTAAACTCAACATTTTTACATATAAATGAAGAATTGCCCACCTCCCCGGTAGTAGTATTAATACGCATAGAGGGAATCATCTTTGTCTAGGTTAGGTTAAACATCTTAGCAACATAGTCCGCAACAAAGGAATGTGTCACTCCAAAATCAAACAAAACAGATAAATCATGACCGTGAATATAAATTATACCTTTCACAAGATTCGAAGCCTTGTCAGATTGTTGAACGTTGTAGTAAAGATACGTCCAACTGTAAGAGCAGATGACAAGGCTTGCAGATTCACAGCCTTCCCAGCATTCTGAGTACACTCACGTCCAAAGTGGCTAGATTTACCACACTTGAAGCAAACATTCTAAGCTAACCAACACTGGCCTTTATGATACATTTTGCATTTCTCACACCGTGGAGTATAATACTTATCAGTAGATCCTCCCCTAGGGGCTCCACCTTTTTTGAATTTATTATAAGGTTGCCTCACTTGCAAACCTTTACCCTTGTTGTTATTTCTCTAGTTAGAACCAGAACAACAAGTAGTCTTCTTGACCTCATTATCTCAAGTAGTAGGATGTTTTGGATATTTCTTATACACAGTCTCAACTCGTTTACACTGGATAATCAGATGAGCAAAGTCTCTAATAGCAGTATTGGACATGCTCTTAATAACTTTCTCACTAAGTCCCCTCTGAAACTTACCAGCCAAGAATTTTGGGGTAGGCAAAGTCTCACCATAATTAGCAAACTTCATCAGTTCATTAAACTTTGCATCATATTAATCAACAGATAAGGAGCCTTGGCGCAGACAGTCAAATTCACCCTGCTTAGCTTCCTTAGCATCCCTAAGAAAGTATTGCGCATAAAACAGATTCTCAAATATGGTTCAAGCAAGCTCTTGCCCTTGTATCATAAAAGGTCTCGAAGCATTACACCACCATTTATGGGCATCTCCCTCCAGCATATAGGCAAAATACCTCAATTTATGAGGATCATGACATCTTATTACCTGAAAGATTTTATCCATCCCCTGAAGCCAGGTAGTAACCACATTAGGATCTCTAGAGCCAGTAAAAAAAGAGGCTTATGCTTCCTGAAAAAGATCATTCTTCTCTCTTCTACATCGGCCTTATCAACATGTTCAACGACAACAGTCTGCTGGCTAGCATCATCAATGTGATGACTAGCCTCACTCTCACCCTGCTAAGGAGTAAGAGTACATGTAGGAGTCGGAGTCACAGCAGCTGTGTGTGGAGGAGAATCAACTCTCTTATTTTCATTCTTCTCTTACCACATCTCAGTCATGAAGGTTTGAAGCAAATCTTGATTTGCTTTCATTAAATTTTCAGTCATTGTCCTATTTGCAGCCGTCGTCGTCTGCAAAGCAGCCAACTCTGTAGCCACATGATCAAGCTAAGGAGGATTTGCATTCGATGCCCCACGGTTGCCACGAAGCCTTCTCATGATGATTGCACATGTAACACAAAGGAATGAACTGATTAGACCCACACTATAGAATCACATATACAATAATCATGAAGAGTCTATAGACAACTACATAACACTAAACACAATCATACAATCTACAGAGTTCCCTAACAAACTGCTCTAATACCATAAAATGTAACACTTCGTTATCGGACTGGTGTGTTATCATCAATTATGATATTAAATGCAGTTACAATCACAGTAGTTAACTAAAATACGGAAAAAAAAAAATTTAATAGTGTTTACATTTTTAAATCAACCGTATTTAACAAAACTCCAAACTGTGATCATAACTCAAAATTGTTGTGAAAATATAAATTCTATTACAATTAACCTACATTAATCTTCACCATTTAAGTCTCTCTCTAACCATCATCTAATTACACTATCCACATTAATTTCTCCATCACTTTCACTCACTTTTCAATCATGAAAATTTGACCAAGTATCATAACTCCACACCTTAAATTATTAATTGATTTCAACCATTAAAACATCATTCTAAACAATAATTTCCAAAGGGATATATCTATTAAATGCCTCCAACAACACCCATCAACAACATATTCGAAATTTCATACCCATTTTCAATCCATCATAAATCTTAAGGAAAAGTTGAAATGCTTACCACCAATGAGTTCCTAGGATCCAAGAAAGTGGTATGCAAGCATCAAAGCAAGTCAAATGAGCTTCCAAGCCACTCACTCATCTACGCACTTAGGTCATGGGGTTCAAGGAGGAAAACTCTTCACACAATGCTCTTCAAGAAAAACTCACAACATGGAAATCACTCACAAGATGATGGTGAAGAACTTTGGTATTCAAACTTTCCTCTCAAAGTGTCTCTAGCTCACAATTAAAATTCAAGCTCTTGTTTCCACAAAAAATAGAGGGCTCGATTTGATGGGGAAGAGGGGGCTGCGAGCTAAGTGTGTGAGGGAAGAGAGAGAATCTAATGTGTTTTAATTGATTTAAGACACCTAGGAATGTAAAATACTAAAATGCCCTTAATGAGTCTATGTAGGGCAAAGGAGTTGCTCAAGATTAGAGTGTCTGTTGGGTTAGCTGGCGTTTGGATATATATACATATATATATATATATATATATATATATATATATATATATTGGTTTTCTGTTTAGAGGATGACTGTATATTTTTTGGTAGCATGACATATGGTCATGTTTATGTATAGTCTCTTTTTGGTATTAGTTAGTGTGATGTAAATGTTTGAGGGATGTATATGTATATATGGATATAGAATTGATATTAGGAATGACGCAGAGCAATATTCTATAGTATATCTGGTTTGGACTTAGCTGTTTTTCAGGTATTGAATATTTGAAGGGAATTGATCGCAGGCTAGTATGTTTTACAGTTGTTATGTTGTTCGTGTATCTCGATTGAAATGATACAGGATATCATATTCATATAGAGACTGTCAAGAATAGTCATTGGATAATTAAGTATTAGATTTATGCAGTTATGAGACTGTACAGATTAAAGTAAATTATGTGCAACGTACGTAAAGATAAATTAAATAGAAAATGTTTATTCGTTAATTATACGATGTAGCCTTTTCTAACCTTAAGTAAGTCTTCTGCTTAGGCATGTTATTTAATGCTGTGTTTTGAATCATATGTATGATAACTAATCGGTTGTAAACAGGGATGTTACACTGAAATTCCCAGTACCTGTTAACTCTCCCAAATGAGAGTTAATTTAGTATCATTATGATGAATTTGCTGCTTAAATTCCATATAAGTTATCTTGTTTGCATGATAATTAAGATAAATGTTGTATATTTATGATTAAGTGCTTTGAGATGACTAAGTATGGAAAATGAGACAATATTCCTTGATTGTGTATATGAATAGATGACTTGTTGAGTGTTTGTCTTTGTAGGAAAAATCGACTTCTGAATGCTGTAACAGAGAAACTGACGAAGTAATGATATAGCAATCAGTACAGCATGACAGTATGGACAAAGGAACAACTGAATTTTCAAAATTCAAAAGTTAGTTATTCCGCAACAATTGATAAAACACCAGCAAGCAAGGATCAAGGACGCTCTTGAAGATTAACTCTTATCCTAAAATTGCTAGGATCAATAAACTCGTACCTAGTCGACAACAATATTGGCACAAGAAAATCAAGAAGATCAAGATCTTATCCAATCAAGTGCCAACAGCATAAGAAAATAGGAATAAGATAAGGCTGCAGCAACACGATTCATGAAATCTCACTCCCAAACCTAAGACCTAATTATCCAACCACTTTATCTATTTAAAGAGAAGTCCCCCACGGAATCAAAAGGTTAGACAAGTTAGAAGGAGGTCGAGAAGTCAGAGAAACAAGGAGGGAAGCGAAGTCAAGTCAGAAGGGATGTTTTAGAGAGAGAAAGTAAGATTCTTGGAGAAGGAAGAGCTGCTGGAGCGTTGCTGGAGCAAGACCGTGACAAAGTATTATAACAACATTCGTTTTCATCTTCTTTTCTGTCTTTTAATGAGTTCTTTATTCCTCTTCTCTGTTTTATTTAATTCCATTATGAGCTAAATTGCTCTATAGGTTAGGTGATAAAGTACCTATGTTGTAACATTGAGATGTATGCCTAAACTTTGTTTTTATTAATGTTTAATTAGTTTTTCAACGAGTTTGCTTATTCTTATTCACGTATGCATGTCGAGAGATATATATGTGATATTGAGGAGGTTGGGACCGAGAGGTTTCCGAATCCAGACCTTTGTTGAATTGTGTGGATTAATTAGGTTAAGAATAATTTGATTAAGTTGTGGGTAGAGAGATCATTCACACCACATAGCTTTTGAACTTGAGCTTTAACAGTTCAGTAATTAGTTTGGCCATAAAGATGTGAGAATTAGTTATTGGGTATATATGTTAGGTTGGTCAAAAGCCCCAGCATACTTTAGTGTTCGGTTACTAATTAAACATTGATATATCATCGTTAAAGCATTATTTTAGTATTGATGTATCAGGGAAATTGAACCTGACCTATATATCATCCATCACCTTAATACATTTGAAATTAGTTTACTGTTTTCTTAGTTTTAATTATCTTTTATTTTATAAATCCAATCATCAAAATCAATCTTTTCTTGTATTTTTTTTACTTGAATAGTTCACACTTTATAACTAATCTCGGTGGGAACGTTATTTGGACTCACACATCTCTTTATTACTTGTGACACGTGCACTTGCGTATTTGTGTGGTATATTCAATTGATTACAAATTGTCAGGAAAGGAGTTGGCCATCTCTGTTCTTGTGTGATTAATGTACAAAGTATTGCTAACGACTATAAATATAACACTAGCTGAGAGACAACCCGGTATTTTAATTAGTTCCTTAGCATGAACGAAGTTTTGGGATGGTCTCTCTTCTTCACTTGAACCCCATTTTGGGGTAGGAACGGCCATACCATATACCATATCATGTACACGTACACCAACTTCATCATATGTTATGAAACATTTCAAATTTCACTATTTAATGGAAGCTCCCAGTGGCAACGGTTGAAGCCTTGGCCTCATCTTCTGCCTTTGGTGTAGGCAACAGGACAATTGCCATTATAGCACTCACGACAGCAGCCACTGCACCCACCACGAAAGCTGGCAAATTGCCACCACCGAACAAGTTATCCCAAGGTCCACTCAGTGCTGAAACAATCATCTGCATACAGAGAAATTTATACATAATCAGTCAAATAATTCCAAATAATATTAATTTTTGACATTATATGTATCAAGTGTATTCGAACCTGTGGAATGACGATGGCAAGATTGAGGACTCCCAAAGACAAACCTGAAAATTTCGAAACAAAAATGAGCATAATTGGCTTTACGAATTAACCCAAATTTGATAAAAAAAAATTATTTAAATAAGGGCATGTGATATAAAACTTGTTTTAAAATTGGGAAATATAGCACAAATAATACATAGTTGTAATTTTAAAAGTTATTTGATGAGTTAAAACTAACACTAACAATATGTGGTATGTGGTAGAGAGAGAAAAATTAATTTTAATATTATAACTATATATTATTAATAATACATGATATTAATTGATTTGAGAAGAAGTCAGGGACCTTATAATTATTTTATGAGTAAGTTTACCTTGGCCTGCTCCTGTAGCGCTCGAGTAGATTGATGCCAGAGCAAAAGGAACGCTGAAAGTAATCTGAACACATGCACCACAAATTGTACGTATTAGTTTGCGACACATCATCATTAAGCCTCATTTTTTAATCCAACCTCAGCCAAGGAAAAATTAATATCTTTTATAACATTTTAAAATGTAATATCAAATCTATTCATAAATTATGTAACATTTGGCATAACCTGCAAAAATTTGTATTATATATGTAAATAATTCTTTAATAATAATAAAAATAATATTTCTTCTATCCGATAAGATAAAATTATTCCGTGTGATCCAAAAATGAGTTATTTAAAAATTGAATTTTTTTGATCATAATAAAGATTAATGTAACTCCTAATATGTTAAAATTATAAAAATTAATTATTATATAATCTCTTAATTATAAATTAGTTTATTATAATTAATGGAGGTGGTTAGGAATAAGAATATATATAGAGAATAATATTACCGCAAGAGGGATACCAAGAACACCAAAGAAAGCCAAGGCACCAGCCTTAACAGCCTCAGAGGGTGACCCTGCGACATGGAGGCCAACATGGCGTTCGTGCTCAGCTTGTTTGGAGATAACAACAGTCATTGCCATGCCAATTGCGAGAATGAAGTTCACAGTAGCCCACAGCCTCTTAACACCACCAAGCATTTTACCCAATGGCTCAATAGCCAAAGACATGAAACCCAAAACGACAGCGTTAATCATTAGACCCAATGAACCAGCGCGGACACCAGCGCCATATGCAGCATCACCGGCATCACCACCGTACACCTCACGACCCATCCAATCAGTGTCGAACAAGAAGTAAGGGAACCATGCAATCCAGTTGATAGCTGTCACCAACATGAGCATCCACATTGGCTTCTTGAGTTCCTTAAATGCACCGCATATTAATCGACCAAAGCATGATGATGAAGCTGTTTCTTCTTCGTCGACGACATTGTGATCACGTGGGTTAATTGGTGCGTCATGCACGACAACGAGAGCGATCACAGCGAGGACAAGGAGAAGAAAGATGGAGAAGAAGAAACAAGTCTTGAGGTTAGCGCAGAACACGTCACATGCTTTGGTTTGTGTGAAGGGGAAGATTTTATGGAGGCCGCTGTAGGATCCGGCGGCGTAACCGAGGACATTGCCGACGGCCATGAAGAATGAGAACAAGGCATTTCCGACTCTAATTTTCTTGTAGTCGCCGGCGGAGAGGTCGCCGAGGAAAGCGCGGCATGGTCCTTGCAACATGTTGTTAGCCACGTCGAGGATCCAGAAGCCGATGACGAAGATTGCAACGGCGCGTGGGCGGGTTTTTTTGGTGAGGTCGTCGCCGAATGAGTAACCAAGGTCGGCGGCGAAGCCAATGAGGAATACAGCGATTGCGACGGCGAGGGAGCCAAAGAAGATGAAGGGACGGCGGCGGCCGAATCTGGAGGTGCAACGATCGCTGTAGTAACCGGCGATAGGCTGAACGACCAAGCCGGATATGGGCCCACAGAGCCAGATGAAGGAGGCCCACATGTGTGGGACACCGAGCAGCTGAACATATGGTGTCAACAGGGAGAGTTGAAGGGCCCACCCGAATTGTATACCAGCGGCGATGGATGCAACGACTATCATCTTGCCGAGTGGACTTGGTTCATTGCATTTTGTAGACTCCATGGTGAGAAACCTTGAGAGAGGGAGAGAGAGAGAGAGAGAAAGAGAGAGCAGTGTGTTGGAAAAACAAGGGATCACTTTGTGAATTTATAATATGCAGGATGGGTTCGATGGTACGTTCTGCATGTAAATCGAAATTGTTTGTGGTAAATTGGTATAAATGGATGGCTATGCTTATCCTTTTCTTAACTGTTTGCTTGATTAGTAATGTGTTGGGTGTGTGTTAGAACTTAGAAGAGCTTGGGCATGAGAAAGAAAGGATCAAAACTAACAAACTGATTCTGTTATTACAATTTTGCATGCCTTACAATTCACAGCTAATGGCTATATATACATATATGCAATAACTACTTCATGACACTAATACAACAGAATGTAACCACCCTTAACCTACTCACTTTTACAATAAGCCTACTACATCGGATGCTAACATACTACAGCTAACAGATACTTATACTACAGCTAACAGAATTGAATCCAATAGAAAATGAAATACATTTTATATGTTTAAAATTACTTTTTATTTAATTTTTAAATTCTAATTTTATTATCTTATATTATTTTATATTTAGATAGATATTAAATTTATTTGAGATTGACTAAAACACAAAACAAAGTTTATCATGCTTAAATCCACTTCACTGAAATAAAAATCGCATAAAAGGGGAACTTTAAATTTCAGGATTACGTAAACTAACTAAGTTGGCTTTTACTCCAGAGTTGTAAGGGATTTAAATAATATTAATGGTTGGAGGAATCAGGAGTACGGATTTTGTTGTCCACACAGTACGCAAAACAGTTGTCTTAAACCATTAGTTAATTTAATTAAGAGCATAACTCTTCACCTCATTCATGAATTACATTACTATTTCAGTCTCATTACCAAAAAGTGAAAAAAAAAGAAAAAAAAGAAAAGAAAAGAGAAGAAAGCACCGCATTGTAATGAACCATTGATCAAAAATGAGGAAAGTACAAACACAACAATTCTGTGGGTAGATACAGTAATTGTGTAGTACATTTATTTATTTAGAGAAAGAGAAAGAGAGAGAGAGAGAGTGTCTTTGGAGTATTTCAGAAGCTCACTGCTTCGCTGATTTTGAGGTAATGTAAGAGAGTGTGTAATACATTTATTTATTCTGCGTCTTGTGGATGGCAGCATGCGGAAGTGATTGCTGACACGTGATACATACAGTATTGTGTTCTTTGTATATGATTTTGCAGAACAAGGACCAAAATGTCATCTTTTGGTAGGGTTGGCAAAACGGACAAACCTAGCTCAACTCGATTTAACCTGCGTTCAACTCGAAAAAAATGAGCCGGATTAGGATTGACTCGAAAAAATAGAAAAAAAAAATTTCATTGATGCTATAACTTCTAAATTTTTTCCTTAAATTATTAATTCATTCAATACAAAGACATTATACAGATAAACCATAGAAAATTCCTCTTGCATTTGAACTTGGACTTATTGGCACCACATTGACACTGTCACACATACTATAAAAAAGGTCTTTAATGCACGGTTTTGGACTTATTGGCAGTTGGCGGGGATTTTCGTTTGGGTCTTTCCAATAGGAATTTTAAGTTTTAGCTTTCCACTTTACCTTCATTAATTTTTATACTTTGATATTAAAAAAAAAACCATAACCCTCGAGCCAACCCGTTTGACTCGTGGGTTGGCTTGGTTTTTTTCGAGCTGAAATGAGTCGGGCTGACTCGAGTTACTAACTCATTTTTCCTAACCCAACCCGGCTCATTTTAGCCGGGTTACGAGCCAACCCGATGGGTTGACTCTTTTTTGCCAAGCCTATCTTTTGGCAAAAAATTTATCCAAATACCACGCGAACAGTACTTTTTACCAAACTGTCACATAAGCATAATTCGCTACGACAGGTAGCATATTATGTTCGCCAATAATTTTATGACATATGGCACACTTTCGCAAGAAAAAAGCTGACGTGTCATAATTCGCTACCACTGGTAGCAAATTTGGTCTGCAATATGGCCACGTGTCACGAAATCATTGGCCATGAAATTCGCTACCAGTGGTAGCGAATTATGACACGTGGCAGTCTGGTAAAAAAATATTGTTCGCGTGGCATTTGGGTAAAATTTTTGATAAAACGTGGCATTTTGGTCACAAATCCTGATTTTGCATGGAACATGATTGTGAGAGTAACGCGTCCCAGTCCAATGATTGACGTGCCAGAAGCATTGCATGGGACGCGGTACCCATTGTGTCATGTCTTAATACGTCTCTCACCCTAACGTGTCGTTATGCATTATTTAGGTAAAACGTTTGACTAAGAAATTATTCCGGTCAAACATTATAAATATTACATTACCAAGGTCAAAAGGCCGTTTTTTGCCTGAGGATGTGCTCTGCCATTTTCTGTCTTTTCTGCCAACCAAACAAGCTGTTGCCACAAGTACTCTCTCCACAACCTGGAAATCACTTGTTAAGTAAGCGTTAAATGCTATTTTAATGGGTTTAAATTTGTCAGTTATGGATAGTCTATGAGTCATGAGGTTAGCATTTATTTTAGGAGTTTTGAAAGGTTAAGAGTCAGTCGTTATTTTTTGTTATTAATGTTGAAGTCTCTCTTTAGTTTCTTGTGTTAGTTAAAATATTGAAGAGTCAGTTGTCTCTTGATTTTCTTATGTGAGTTATGAAGTTAAAGTGTTATGTTTATTAGGGGTATAATGGCTGATGTTAAGAGTAGTTAATTAGTGATGTTATGAGGGTGTTATGAGACTCTTGATTAGCTTCGTAATGAGTCTCTTCATTGGTACTTTCAGTTTTTTGTGTTGTATATTAATAGGCTTGATGTAATACATAATTGAGAAGCAACAAAGTTTAGTAAAATATTTTTATAGAAGTTTGTTCTCTTTCTCCATAAGTCCTCACGAGATTGTTGAATAGTTGTTTTATTTGTTAGTTCTGTATTTGAGCGATCCTACAAATTGGTATCAAAGCCAATGGAGGTTATGACCAGTCATGTGCGTTGCCTCGTCTGACGAAGGTAAACTACGAGAATTGGAGCATCCAAATGAAAGCTCTTCTTGGATCCCAAGATAGTTGGAAGATAGTTCAAGATGGTTTCACAGAATCGGAATCTACCGCAGGTTATACGACAGCTCAAAACAAGGCGTTGAAAGAGACGCGATCCAAAGACAAGGCGGCATTGTACATGCTGTTCCGAGCTGTTGACGAGTCAGGCTTTGAGAAGATTGCGACTGCTGCAACTTCAAAAGAAGCGTGGGACATTTTGGCAAATGTCTACAAAGGAGCTTACTGTGTTAAGAAAGTTCGATTTTAAACTCTTCGCGGCGAGTTGGAAGAAATGAAGACGAAGGAGTTGGAAGGTGTATAGGTTGAGAAAATGATCAAGGTTGATCAAGATTCTTATAAAATTCCATTTTACATTGGTTTCTCATGCATCAGTTGAAAGTTCTTAGCACAGTGGACGGTCTCCATCAGTCTGCATTAGTTGAAAGTTCCTAGCACTTTATTTTCCTCCTAAATCTGTCTTATACGTTGCACTATATCAGCAACTTTTTCAGATATCATTATCATATTTAATTGTTCTTCATATGCAGCACAACGACGTTTGCACTTTTGCCTTTCATTGTACAACTCATGGATTCTCTTATCTTTCTCATCCTGTGGCAAAAATCATCACTATAAGTTTGAGGAACTAAAGTTGAAACAAAAAGAAAATAGTTTTTAATATGAGGATATACTGATTTGAAATTTAAAACTAATGTGTTTAAGGGAAAACTTCAAAAATAATCCTGTAACTTTCCTCATAATCATTTACCCCTCCCTAAATTTTGAATCATTTATCCTACTGACTTAATTTTTTTATTACTTACCCCCTAAGTGAGGGGATAAGTGATAAAAAAACTTTAAGTAAAGGGTAAGTGATAATTGTTTTTTAAATAAGAGTGTAAATGACTCAAAAATCTTGCCAGGAGTAAAGGATAATTGAGAAAACTCATAAGGATTTTTTTGTAGTTTTTCCTTTTTGTTTAATTGATATACTGATTTGTTTAATTTAATACTAATGATAGTATTCAAAAATTTTGTGTATAACCTATCTGAGTAAATGTCAAAAATTAATATGAGTTATTAATTAGTAATATATTTATTAACATTTATTATAGGGGAAGGATATTGTAACAACCAAGTAGTGTTACTACCAATCAATTTCATCGTTAGATCAATTATGTTGATCCAACGATTATATTTATTTCCATCTTTGTATAGTTATGATTCTCCATATTTAATACTTTATATTTATTTTCATCTTTATATGGGAAATCATAACCATACAAAGGTGAAAATAAATATAAAGTATTAAATATAAGAAATCATAACCATACAAAGATGGAAATAAATATAACCGTTGGATCAACATACTCTCGATCTAATGTAGTAATATTGATAGTAACTCTAATTGTTGATTGTTACAATATTCTATTTTAAAATCCGATTGAACCTGATTAAATCACTGACCCAATACCTCGACCGAGTCGAGAAAGATTGGTTTTAAAACACTGGTTTGGCCTTACACCCTAGGGTAAAAACAAACCCTTAAGGGGGTGTTTGGTTTGGGGTATATTTTCAGAATGATAGATATATGAGTAGTGGGAAACTAAGAATGGTGCGTTTGGTTCGCTGTCCTTCTTCATTTGCGTAGGAAACGAAGATGCATAGGAAACCAAGATACATAGCATTTTGTCCTCAAAAAGCCGGCCATAGAAACCAATTTGCAAGGTGATATTGTGGAATACCTCCACATTTGCTCACTCACTGTACTACCAAAAAGACCAGCGTACCCCATCTTTCTCCTTCACACCGCACAGCGAGCCTGCTTCTCAGGGTGGAAGCCCTTTGATAAAAAGTTCTATTTATCAGATGGTTAATGGCTTGATCCTCGTGTACTCTCTCAGGTTGTGAGTTTTCAGATGTTTCACTGCAAGTGATAAAAAAACTCGTT